AAACAGCATCTCACATTTCTACAACGACTTTTTGCGATTTGTTTACATTTAAATGTAGGCAACACTGTTTCTGTTAATTGCCTCTTCCTTTAGTTATCAACCACTTTTCTAAACGGCCGGTCGCGAATTTTGCTCGTTAAACGTATTTGCTTAAATTTAAAGATAAATTTAAATAAAACATATAAAAAATGTTAAATAGTGTTCAATTCATTAGTTGCTATCAAAATATTATTAAAATAAAAGTGTTTATGCTTGAAATTCTTTGCAAATTGTGTTTTGGTTAGCTTTGCATTGATGCCGTTGTCGTCCCTTTGTTTATATGTTCGTGTGAGAGAGTTATTACGATTGCATTGTTGTTGTTGTTATTAATCGGGAGTTATTACACGACAGAGAAGTATGATTCGTCATTGCGGTAGGAAAATGTGTTAAAGAGAATTTGAAGAGTAATTTAAAAAATCGTCAAGAGAAAAAAATCTGTATAGAAGAAAATATTATTCAAATTGAAATTAAGAAAGTAATGATTGCACGGAATCTTGAAGAGTAATTTCAGTATGATAAAGTGTTGCTGAGAATGAAGTGTATTTAAAAACTGAGTAATTTTTTTCATTGATGATCATGCAAATATAAACGTGTTAAAAAAAGGAGAATTGCATAATCTTAAAGTAAAAGAACATTCCTTAATGTGGTAAGTCAATAGAAAATAAATATTTCATAAGAAAATTTAATTTAAAAATTAAAAAAAACGATCACACTTATAATTACCGCTATTTACATTCTTGAAAAAAAATATTTGTTTTTTAAGGAGACTACCTCGATTCTAAATTTTCAAGATTTTCATTGGGCTGGTAAATGAATACCAATGCGTGTTGACGTTAATAACTTTACACATAAATAATTGAAGATTTAAAAGAAAAGATAAATTATTTTGCAAAATTTGGTTGTTGTTGTTTTTTTGGTGATTAAAATGATAAAAAATTTGTCTAGATTCGAAAAACTAAATACATTTTTTTAACACCGTGAAGGGGGGGTTGGGGGAGGACTTTTTTAATCGAAGATTGAACAGTCTGTGAACAATATTGCTTAAAAATGTACGGCTATAGATGGTCTTTTATTTAAAAATATGCGACTATAGCAAAAATAGCTTCTAGATTAAAAAAAAATATTTTTAAAAATCTACGTCTATTGTTGGTCCTTAGAAAAAAAGTTAAAAAATCTATCCCTATTGTTGACCCTTAAAAAATTAGTTTAAAAATTCTACACATATTGTTCGTCCTTAGACATTTGTCGTTGAACATTAAAGATTTGTTTTAAAATATACGCCTATTTTTGGTTTTTATTTTTAAACATGTTGGTCATTGAAAACTTATTTTTAACTAGTGAGCGGAGCAGTATAGTCGGACGGGGCGGACCATATGATACTCTACACAACTTACACGAAAATCTAACATTCTGTGGTCCTATATTCTGAGCTTAGGCATTATTTCGCCCGACTAGATGTCAACAAATATTACTAATATTCAGCACAGCCCTTCTAATTGCTTGTACAGGTTCCCTTCACCGTGGGTTGTGTTGTATAGATCGACTCAAAAAAAAAAAAAAAAAGTTTTCGGTCCACTTCATCCCAAAATTATTATCTATTCATCACGGAAAATTATAGGCGTTGCCTTGACCATACCTGGATCCTCAGGGAAAATTTCAAAGCTATCAGCGCTATAATTTCGCCCTCCCACATCCGAGTACATACGACAATAAAATTGGTACCAAGTTAAAGGTCAACCACTCCACTTGGATATATTATCAACTTCTCGGTTCTATGTCCTTCAGGGATAAATATACAGTGCCGGTCACCTAATTAGCACACACCTGAAGGGGGACATGTTTTGAATAACACTCGATTTGTTTGGAATATGTTTAAATACTTTTTTATTCAAAGCGCTTATGTGTATTGTGCTTGAGCGATTACGTGCGAGATTGAGTGTCAAATTTGAGTGGGTTACGTAATTAGGACACCTTAGAATTTTTATTCTTAACCCTTTATGGCCCAAAGTTGCCCACAGGCAACAAAATGTTTTAAAACCTATATTTCATATACTATTAGCGGATATTCTTAGGATTTCATATGTCAAGACCTGAATATGGACGACAAGTATGAAAAGAAAAATCTACAAAATTCAACTCATTGGTAAAGTTATGAGCTTTTCAATATAGAGAAGAACGCAAACATGTTTACATTACTAATTTGTGTATACACTCCAAATTATTTCAATCGCTTCGTATTCGATTTCTAAGAATTCTGCCATCAGAATTATTTTTGATTCGTGTAAAATAGAATATAGAACATTATTTAAAATGATTTTTCCGTCGATTTTGCATTCTGTTTTCTTGATATTGAACTTTTATTTTTCAGGAAGAATCTACTGTATCTCCCGAATGCAAGGATGTAGCGATGTCAAATTTTGTTCATGTACTATTTAGGACAGTTGCATTAAATCTATGAACAGAAAATTGTTCTATGATTATGGAAAAATATTCGGGGCTCAAAGGGTTAAATGCCGTTGATATTAACAAATATATACAAAAAAAAAAACTACTTCGTGTCAATAAATCAAGTCTGATGACTCATTTTCAGAAGAAAAGAGTTTTAAAAATCTATCAAATATATTTAAATTGGCAACAGTTCGTACTGTAAACCTAAATTTGGGAAAGTCAGCATTGTATAAAAAATATAAATGCGAATGACCCAAAAATTGCTAGAATAACTAGAGATCGATAAATATTACCTTCTGTAATTATGCCATGTCCTTGAAAAGTTATTCTCAAAAATCGAAGCTTTAAGAAATAATCCTTGAAATAATAACATTTTAATCTTTGAAAAATATTAAAAAATGCATGTCTTTTATTAGTTCTTGCAAATAAAATTTTAAATACCTACACCCTTGTGAACATTCTTATACCCTTCACCACACTGTGGTACAGGGTATTATATCTTTGTGCATATGTTTGTAACAGGCAAAAGGAATCGAGATAGACACATGGTTCCTTTTGAGAATATGCATAGAATCACTTTCTGAGTCGATTTATGCATGTCCGTCCGTCCGACTGTAGATGTTAAATTGTAAACAAAGTACAGGTCGTATTTAGGATCCGATTTTGATGAAATTTGACAAGTCACTTATTTGGCCCAAGGACGAACCCTATTGAAATTGGGAAAAATCGGTTCAGATTTAGATATAGCTCCCATATATATTTTCGTCCGATTTATGGTATATGGGGCACCGAAGTCCCTCTATATCTTTCGATTTGCAGGAAATTTTGCACAGAGTACTGAATTAAGTCCAGAATTATGTGTGCCAAGTTTCGAGAAAATCGGTTCAGATTTAGATATAGCTCCCATATATAGCTTCGTCCGATTTAAGGTAAATGGTGCACCAAAGTCCCAATATATCATTCGATTTGCAGGAAATTTGGCATAGAGTATTGAATTAGGTCCAGAATGATGTGTGCTAAGTTTCGTGAAAATCGGTTCAGACTTAGATATAGCTCCCATATATAGTTTTGTCCGATTTCATGTAAATGGTACACCAAAGTCCCTATATACTTTTCGATTTGCATGAAATTTGGCACGGCGTACTAAATTAAGTCTAGAATGATGTGTGCTAAGTTTTGTGAAAATCGGTCCAGATTTAGATATAGCTCCCCTATATATTTTCGTCGTATATCTTTCGATTTGCACGAAATTTGGCATAAAGTCCTGAATTATATCAAGAATGACGTGTGCAAAGTTTCGAGAAAATCGGGTACGATTTATATATAGCTCCCATATATATTTTCGTCCGATTTTAGGTAAATGGGTCACCAAAGTCCCTTTATATCTTTCGATTTGTGCGAAATTTGGCAAAACGTACTAAATTGAGTCTAGAATTATGTGTGTCAAGTTTCGTGAAAATCGGTTCAGATTTATATATTTTCCCCCGATTTAATTTTAATTTTTGATTTTGCACGAAATTTGACATAAAGTACTGAATTGAGTTTAGAATGGTGTATGCAGTTTCCTGAAAATTGTCCGATTTTAAAACCCACACAATTTTGCACAACGTACTAAAGTTTGTGATTGTTATTTGGTTTAAATCGATTTACATAATTTTGTCCCATTGTATCGAACGAATGACATGTTTATGGATGGATTGATTTAAGTCGGTTCACATTTAGATAAAGGTCACATATTACAGTTAATCCAATTTCATGTAAATGGCCCTTCTATTAGAATGCCACTTTTTAATATACCCATAGTGGTGAAGGGTATCATATAGTCCGACTTTACTACTTTCCTTACTGGTTATTATGGTTATATTGAAATGAAACTCCTTTTATTTTTTAATTTATTTTATTTTATTTTTATTTAAATTTATTTTTGTCTTACTGAGCAATATATATGTATGTATATAAATGATTTTTTGCAGTTGATTTGTTTTTAATGTATATAATATTTTGTTGTTGTTGTTATATATAAAAAATAAACAAAAAAAAATAAAACGGAGGAGGATGATTGCAATGAAAAATACTTAATAAATTTTTTCTATTTAAAAATAATATGTACACAATGATATATAAAAAAATTAAACAAAAATATTATGATGTTACAAAATGTCATAAAGAAAAAAAAACAAAATAAACATGGATGTGAGAAAAAATAATTAACAAAATAAAGAACAATAATTATAATAAATTAGAAAGTCGATTTGGACATGAAAACTAAATGCAAAGCACATGCAGAATAAGACGCTTTCAAAATCATAGAAAATGGGAGGAGACATACAAAAAATGACTTAGAATAGATTGATAAAATGTGAAAATAAAAGGAAAAAGAGCGGGAAAAGTAAAATATGAAGAACAAAAGAAAATCTTAATACAATAATGTAAAATGATCCTTGAGTATTTTGCTGGGGATTGGGGGGAAGATAGAGAACAGCTAAGTTGTTATTTCACTGAGGTCGGTGAGAAGATTAAAAAAATGCAGGGCGGTGCATTACAAAACCTGACCATTTGCTATTTACTTTTTGCGGAAATTTAGTAGAGTATCGGGAATTTCATTGATGTAGTTCTGAAAGGGTAAACGAAGAAAGAAAATCAGTAAATGTTCGAGATCTGTTCATAGCGGAGAACTTACAAAAACTGGTGAAGCTATATCAGGACTAGCATAATCGGCCCACTTGGTCAAATCAATTGAGGGTATGACACCACTCTTGCAGGGTACACGAGGATTACTAAGGAAAGTAATAGTTATTAAAATATTTTATTCCAATTAAAAAAACGTATTAACTTACATTTCATGATCAGGCAAAACCATGGGATAAATTTGTACTGTATCTATCAGATCGGTGTTGTCACAAATCAACCTCGACAATTTGGCCTTGCGGATTTCTTGCAATTGTTCGGGTGTGAATGATGATGGCTGATTGGGCAATTCATACCAGAAGCGGTCACCACGTCTCAAATAGCTCATTTGGGTGGCAATGACACAGGCAAAGGTGGGACCCAACATAGAACCGGGCAGAGATTTTTCAGAGACACCACCAGACCACAAATCAATATCGGCAGGGTGTCTGTAATTAATAAAAAATTAAATAATTTCCCAAAAACAAAACCCCCATTTCCCAACTTACTCAAATATACTCTGATATCTCAAAATCGTATCATTGGGCATAGAACCAAACATTTCATCCCAGGTATTCGAGGTGGGTAGACCGCAGAATTTACGGAATTCCATATAGCCGGGTATACCAAATTCACGACCACGTTGCATATTGAACGACACCAAATCCATACCAAATCTAGCACCTTCTTTCTTGAACAAATGATTGGTAACCTCCTGCGTAATCGAATCATCCATAGCCTGGGCCACTTGATTCATCAAACCCATAAAGTATTCATCCAAAACACCAGCTCTATACAAATCGTAAGGGCGACGAATCAAATCCGACAATCTCTTGGAGGCAATAAATTTATGAGCCTTCGACCAACGTTCCACAGCGGTGGGCAGCAGCGAATGACCAAAACGGAATGCAGCACCAGCAAATGAATCAATAATACCCGGATTAACCTTTGGATCATAACCATCCCAATAGCCATCCTTTTGCAAGACCAAACCGAATTTCTCCATAACCTCTTTGCCCAACAGAATTGGCAAGAATTCATTATAGGTCACATGCTGGACAATGGCAATGTTAATGCGTCTTGCCTCCTGGAACAGTGTCTCATCATCCCAATGTTTATTGATTTGAGCCAAACCGGTAGCAATACGATTATGTTCTCTGGCCATCAGGGTGTGCATACAGGTCAATACCAATTGTTCATTGACACGAATTTCACCAGCCTCAAAACAGAACATACTCTTGTTGGGGCGTGTGCAGCCTTCATCGGGAATATCCAACTTCAAGGGTAACAAATCTTTCAGACCATATTCCTGGAAGACAGGGTTCATACGCAAGAGACCACCGTAGCCGGTACGCAGCTTGCGGGCGAATTTCTCATTAACACCATAAACGGTATTGGCATCAATGACACCGGTCAAAGTATTGAATTGTTGGCGGGAACCTGTAACGAAATTAGAAAATATATTTTTCATTCAAATAACGGAAAATTATAGGGGTTAATTGGGTTCTGACCAAGGTCATTTGAATTTTTTTAAAATTTTCAAAATCGATGATTATAAATATTTTGAAAATTTTGTGAAGATACTGTCCAATGTATAACAATAACATTATCCAACAAAGGGTAATTCAGTAGAATATTAATCAAAATATATTGAGGCACCCTGTCTATATACTCTATAGCGAATACAACAACCTTAAGTGTTATACATTGGGGTATAACAAATGGGAAATGTGAAGAGACCAATGACCAAATAGTAAATATTTCTATAATAATATCAAAACTTTTTTTTTAATTCTTCTATTTTTATAAAAAAAAATAACTGATTTTCATAAACTGAGGAATAATTTCCTTTAAAAAAACATTTCAGTTGTTGGATACTCTATTTGTTTGTGGCAAATAAATTCCTCACTAACTTGTCTGCGAATCTGCCCTTCGCTTTGGCGGATATACTTAAGACGTACAAAGCCGATATTATTGCCTTACAGGAAATGCGATGGAAGGGGACTGGCATAAGTAAATCAGATGATTACGCCCTATATTATAGCTTTCATGAAACAAGACGTGAATTTGGCTGCGGATTTATGGTTAACAGCAGAATAAAAGACCTCGTCTCCAGATTCACTCCAGTAGATGAACGAATTGCTATAATCCGTAAAAGCGAAGTTCTTCTACATCAGTCTTATTTGCGCCCATGCTCCGACCGAAGATAAAGATGAACAGACCAAAGACATATTTTACGAGCGCCTAGAAACAGAAGGGGAAGGGGAAATATCTTTGGCCCCAACGTCGGAAAATTCAGCCTCCATGAAGAAACATTAGACAACGGCATGAAGTTGATTGACATCGCAGCAGCAAAAAACATGGTAGTTAGCAGCATCAGATTAAAGCATCTCGATATACACAAGGCCACTTTTATTTTCCCGATCGAACAACGAGAAATCAAATCGATCATGTTGTGATAGACGGAAGGCATACATCCAGTGTTTTAGACGTCCGATTGATCCGATGAGCGAATATCGATTCGGACCATTACCTTGCGGCAGTCAAGGTACGCACCCGTCTTAATGTAGGAAATTTGACGTCGAAAAACTGCTTGACGAAAGCACCACTTGCCCCGATAATAATATAGAATCACAGTGGCACTTGGGCACCAAAGATCACCATCAAGAATTCAGTGTTACGATCAGGAGTGTCGTAATGCTACTAGTATGAAAAACGCAGCATATAGGGCAACACTGCGGACAGTAGCAACACGTAATGCTATGGAGAACTATCGGGAGAAAAGGAGAGATTTTCAGAAAAAAGAACAAACAAAAAATGTAAGCGAGATGTACAGAAATCAGAATGAACTCCGTAAAATACCAAAGCCGAAGGCATTCGACAGCATATAGGGCAACACTGCGGACAGTAGCAACACGTAATGCTATGGAGAACTATCGGGAGAAAAGGAGAGATTTTCAGAAAAAAGAACAAACAAAAAATGTAAGCGAGATGTACAGAAATCAGAATGAAGTCCGTAAAATACCAAAGCCGAAGGCTTTGGTATACGCACATTCTCCTGTAGAGATGAAGAAAGAAACTTGGTGACAAATACATACAGCGTGTTGAGAATCAGAAAGGAGCATTTTGTAAAGCTTCTGGTATCAAATAATGACGGGGAAGAAACGACCAGAACCAATAAGTGTTGCCGCATAGAGTTTATACCACCTAGCCAAGATGAGGTCAGAATAGCAACCAATCGGCTGAAGAATAATAAAGCGGTTGATGCCGATGACTTACCAGCCGAACTATTCAAGACTGGTTGTCAGTTGTTGGTCATCAGCATGAACTAGCTGGAACCTCAGCAACCTGTACAAACGGAGACAAGACGAAATGTGCCCACTAGAGAGGAATAAGCCTCCTTCCAATCGTATATAAAGAGATATCCAGCGTGTTGTGTGAATGACTGAAGCCAATGGTCAATGACATTATTGGACATTACTAATGCGTCTTTAGACTAGGCAAATCCACCATTGTCCAGATGTTCACTCTGCACCAAATCCTGGAAAAAAACCACAAAAAACACATCTACACATCCCACATATTCGTCAGCTATAAAGCCGCATTCGACAGCCCTATCCGTTCAGAGATGTTTAAATCCATGTTTGTGTTCGACGGCTATGCAGGATAATTTTAACTGGCACAAGGTCAGCAGTTAAAGTCAGAAAGGACCTCTCGGTGCCCTTCAATACAGAACAAGGATTCAGACAAGGTGACAGCTTGTCGTTTTACCTTTTTAAAATGCTGCTAGAAAAAGTTATACGAGAGTCAAAGGTGAACAGAAATGACACTCTATACGCTAAACAACTCATGTTACTCGAACATTGCGAACGGTAACATCCACCTTTGAACAAATTGAGAAGGAGACTGTCAAAGTGGGCACGGCAGTAAATGGCGACGCGCCAGTGGACTCGGACCAACTGTGGAACACGAGAACTACAGCTTCGAGATAGTCAAAGATTTTATATACTTTGGTACCGCAATAAATAAAACTAATGATAAAAATTTTTGAAATTCGGAGAAATATGTTGTTGGCCAACAGATGCTAATATGGTCTAAGTAAGCAACTCAAAAACAAGGCCACCTCCCGCCAGACCAAACTCACACTCTACAAGACGCTGATACTACCCGTGATGTTATATGGATCTGAAGCATGGGTACTTACGCAAGCAGATGAGGCAGCTCTTGGTTCGTATATCTATGCAGATTAAATATATAATCTCGTCCGATTCTATGTCAATGGTCCTCCAAACATGATATGTCTGTTATATCGACAGGATATCGTACAAATGAACATATCTTGTGAATATCATACTGGTTTTAATTTTGAGGTACCAGAAGAAATATGCTGTCCCTTTTTAGAAGGGGAACTAGATATTCCAACTAATTAATTTTAAACAAAATTTTGTCTATTTTGGCGGATGTGCTAGGTTCCCATCTGAAAACAATACATCGATGAGTCCCATTTGTTATGCTCACTAATTGAGGACTTATTTTTTCCTGAAATGCAATCATCCTTATTTATTTCCAATTTCTCCAGTAGTGATTTTATTTCAGTATAATTTTTAAAAATTCCAGCCACTTAACTATTTCTTTGTCCTTGTACTGATTACTCATTCCTGACGTTCGGAGTGTTAATTTGAATCTTCAACATTATTTCCATTACTCCAATCAATCATTATTAACTTTAAAAATATTTGCATCTTCATGTATACAAATCAAAACACATTTACAAAATATTCTGCATAATAATTAGCCTCATATTGTTTTGACACATAAATATCGAAAGGCGACCTTCCAATAGCCCACCCTGTCAAATCCTATTAAAATATTTTGTTTTTATGAAAAACTCAAAAAATCAAAACTCTTTGCTCTGGGGCGTTGACAGTCATACACGTTTAAACGGTCTTAAAAACAACGCCTACTCCAAGACCAACCAGACAGACAGTCAAGCAACCAACCAACCGAACATTTTTATGCTTTACAGCATAAAAAGCTGCTGTCAATCACATCAAACTGTCGAACCTAAAAGTGATTTAAACGTTTTTCTTTTGTTTTTGGTGCGGTTCGGTTCGAGGGAGAGACTAAAGAAGTAGAAATACCAACATAAACACTCATATAGCGTGGCAAATTGTTGATTAAACGTGAACATGATTCTATTAAAACGTCAACTATGCAACTACTGTTGAATGAACTGCGATAGCCGGCAATCCCTTGGCCAAAATCGATCAATGGAATGGCAGAGAATGATTCAATGAACCATGGTCAAAACATAAAAAAAATATACTAAAGCAATCAATGAAATTTTCCATGAAAAAACTTACCCAAACGGCAGCCAGGTCTAGGTGAAGGGAAGCCTCGAACAAAATCAATGCACTTAACATTGAACAGGCGATAGAAGTAATCATCGTCGGGTACACGAATCTCATTACAATAGGGATGTTTCAAATGCAATGGACGCTTACAACATTCCTCGGGATCATTGCGATTGATGGGATCTAATTTCCAAATAAATAATATGTTAATATATAACCGAGTTAACTTTTTGAAAGTCTACCTACCCAAAGGTGTGCCAGTTAAGGTAAAATCGTGATCCATAAATTGACCCCAGGCAATGACCATAACAGTGCCAGCATGATCATGATAACCATCATCAGGATGCATGGTGCGCGATACAACACGTGAATAGGGCAAATCACGTCCAGTCACCGAAATACGTGGAGCATTGATGCCATCGGCATACAGGGGACCGATTAAACGTTGGAACGGTGCCATGGCAGCACCCCATGTCGGATGTTCAATGTTGTTGCACAAACCATCAAAACGTCTATACTTACCTGGACGGCATTCGACGCCGGAAAAGAAGGGTGGACACACTTCACGGATCAGTGTCTTGGAGGTGTCAATGGTGGGCAGACCCTTTTCAATTTCCTCGTATGACAAGCCATAACTGTAAAGAAGAAAAAACGGAGGTTTTATTAAAGTACATGTGAATGGTGTAAAAAACAACAACAACAAAATAAGTAGTTGTGATATGGTTTGCTGTTTTATGGACATGAGATAACTACCATTTTTTTCGAATTTATTTCAAAATATATATTTTAAAATCAATAAAAAATATATTAAATAAATGGAAAAATATCGAGATTATTTTATGAATATGTTATTATTACAAAAAATATTGAATTTTTAAATTTTTTGTTTGCAATTAGCAGTAAAAAAATTACTTGCAATATTTTTCTTCGGAAAATTATTTATCATTCTTCTAAAATATAAACCAAAAAAACCGCCGTATTTGGTAAAGAATTGCGATAGTTTTTTTATGAAATACAAATTGATCGCATACCATTCATATATGGCTGATCAAGTTATGGGCTTAGAAAAAAAAACACAGGCCTATAATTCGAATACCATTTGCTAGTGTAACAAAACTGGTATTGGCGAATTTCTAAGGAAATAATCCAAATTGATTTGAAGAATTAAATTGGGTAATTATTTAATATGTTTGGTCATTATATCCACTTTGCAAACACTTGAAATCAATTAATTTTAGTTGGACTAATTCAGATTTATTTAAAGCGCAATCACTTTGTAAATACAGCGTTTATGGCAAGCAAAATTTGCCCAATATTTTCCACAGGCTACAAAAAGAAAACCAAATATGAGGCGTAGGTATGCACAACTTAGACAACATTGCCATCTTACTAAATTTCTTGTGTTAGTGTCGATCAGTTTCGATTATGAGTTCATTGTTGCTATTCCATCTAAGTAGTTAATTGGTCTTTAGACTGTCCTATGTGATTAGGCTGCCATCTATCGTTGCCTAGAAACAACGTCAGCCTAAATGTGGTGCAATGGTATTGGTCCTTGCTAATTTAGTGTTGTAATTTACGTCTGGGTGGCGCTATCTCCTCCAATTCTTGAGTGTATTACCTGCATTTGTTGATGTCGAGCTTGGGTAATAAGATGTCAATGGCTGTGAATGCATTTCATCAGGAGGAGAACGAAAGTTTCCTTTTACACATATTTTGAAACCACTTTGAAATATTTGTTCATCCTTCACTGGGATTCGAAACTGAGACCCACAGCCACAAAGAAAAAACGTCGTCGACCTTTTTTTATTTTTTTTGTATATCAAATTAAGTATTTAATTGGTATGCTGTAGCCTGTCCAAGGTGATGAGGCTGACATCTATTGTTGCATAGACAATTTAAATTAATTTAGTATTGACATTTTCCTCTACCATCTCTCGTTGCCTAGAAACAGCCTCTTCCTAAATGTAGTGCAGTGGTTTGGCCCTTGCTAATTTAGTGTTGACATTTTCCTCTGGTTGGCGCTATCTCCTGCCATATTTTGTGGTAAACTCATAGTTGGGGACGAGGTTGGTTATTAGAGTTTCAGGAGAATTCGGATTGGCATAATCTGGAGGAGAATGTAAACCTCATTTTACAAATATTCGAAAACCACTTTGAAATAATTGTTCATCTTCAGTTGTAATTCGAGCCAGAGATCCATTGCTTTGTAGTCCTTTACACTATCCAATGTACAACGCCTCCCTATAATAAGTTTCCCACCTTTATATCCACATAGAATTTATATTCGTACTGCTTCCGTAACCAACATATTCTCCATAACTGACTGCCGGCGACTTTCCTATTCTCAGATTTCAACAAGGAAAATGTCGTAGAACTTTTCTTACCCTCGACCACGTGGTGTGCAACCAGCAAAGTTGCAAATTGGTCTGCTGTAGCCTGTCCTAGGTGATGAGACTGACATCTCTCGGTGGTTAGAAAGAACGTCTCCCTGAATGTTTGCAGTGGTTTGGGTCCTTGCTAATTTAGTGTTGTCATTTGCCTCTAGGTGGCGCTATCTCCTGAAATATTTTGTGTTGTTCTCATGGGTTGAGGCCGATGTTGGTTATTAGATTTTCTGTACGGCTGTACGACAATCAATTCCACCTTTTTGCGACCAAAAGTTACCTTTGGTATTATTTTTTTTTTCAAACTTTCATTGCACCAATCTACAATTTTTTTGTTGATTTTCAATTCGTGCGGGATCCAACGAAATTAAATCTTTTTACGGTAAAGTGTTAGAATGTATGCTGGTGGAAAAAAATACCTAAGGATACATATATCTTTAGGTATCTCATATCTATGGCCTATGGTGAATTTTACTTTGTCAAGGGCTTTCATTTCACCCCCTGACCATGGCCTAATGTTTTCATTTAATTTGAATTTCGTGATGTTCGGGTCGTAATTGTATGCTCTAGAGCGACCCGCAGAATAAACAAAAATAATGTTTTTGGTCCATTCCCTTACCAGTGTGCGGAGCAGTAGCGTCGGACGGTGCCGATCATATGGGTCGAACAAATTGAGAAGGAGTCTGCCAAATTAGGTCTGGCAGTAAATTGGCGAGAAGACGTCCAGTAGACTCGGACCAACTGTGGAATTTGAGAATTAGAGCTTCGAGCTAGTCAAAAATGTTGTGTACCTTGGTACCGCCATAAATAAAACTAATGACATCAGTTTTGAAATACGGAGGAGAATAGATGCTACTATGGTCTAAGTAAGCAATTCAGAAACAAGGCCATCTTTTTCCAGACCAAACTCACAGTCTACAAGACGCTGATACTATCCGTGCTGTAATATGGATCTGAATCATGATTACTTGCGCAAGCAGATGAGGCAGTTCTTGGAGTGTTTGAGAGAAAATTTATCCGGGAGATCTATGAACCGATCTGCGTCGATGGTGTATATGAAGATGCCCAACTCAAAAGGCACATAAAACGAGCCAACTGATTCGATGGAAAGGACATGTGGAAGACAGCATTTCGGAACATGGTCTTTCTAATTGGAAGAACTGGGATCGATGCATCTGAAATCCGTTTTATGCTGCGTTTATGGAACAAATGTTCTGCCACAAGCCAGACACCTCCCACACCTCCCACAGCAGTATAGATAGAAAAATTAAATTATTATCCATGTTATCCAACCACTCCTCTTGGATACTATCAACTTCTCTACCAAATACCAACTTTTCGGAAGGACATAGCTTCAGGAGAATATATACTGAGTAGAATACAGACTTTGTAATTGTTCACACAAATCAGACGTGACATTCATATTCTATGGTCAGACCCCTTTTTTGAAATGAAATTTCAATAGGGACCTTTTTGGCCAGGACCCGTACCACAACGATTGTAATAGACGGACGGACAGCTGGTCGAGATATGATCGGTATACTAAAAGGTGGGCCTAGGTGCCTAGTACAGACAAACATATATTTTTTATTTTATTTATTTATTTTTATATTTTAATAACAATATTCAGCCTATATAATAAATATCTTAATTTGTCGATTCACATTGTTCTCATTGTTATTGGTATTACAACTTATATTTATAGATTTTAGAGGCAGGGGATTCAAAATATTAAACAATATTAATAGTTTGGTAATCTTTTCCACCGAACCCATGTTGTGCGTAGATTTCGAAGAAGGCTATTCTCATTTAAATTTTGAAAGCTGAATGTTGTCAAAAATTAAATTATGGAAAAATTGGAATCATATGTCTGCATGGGACTACATGATATAATATTCTAAACAAAACATCATTTAATTCTTATTCTATGTAATTAAAATTTCCCACACATGCGATTTTCGATGAAGCCTACATCAATTATCAAATTTCATTGAAAGGTCAATGGGTCAGTGTGAACACAATTCAAGGCATTTTATTAGAATTTCTTATCAGAAGCTTCCCAAAAAATTCTAAATTTTTATTACGAAAAATTTGAAAATAATCTCACGTAAATTCATAGATTATTTCGTATATAACTACGTAAAAAATTCCAAATGTTCTATATTATTTTTGCAAAAACAAATAGTCATTCTTTGTCTTGCAACAAAAGTACACAACCCTATATGTTGTTGCCAAAAATGCGTTTCTTGGAAGTTGTTGTTTTATTCCTGGCTTTAATTGCTGTGGCATACGGTAGTGTTTGTGTGCCTGATTGTCCTGTGGAATATAAACATGTATGTGGTCAACATGTTGATGGCACACGGAAAACCTATGCCAACTCGTGCCGAATGGCTTTCGAAGCGTGTCGAACTGGTAGACGTGAGTATACAAATGCTTGAAACAAACAAATATTTATTTGTATTTTTTTCTTTCTAGCCATAACACAAATAAATAGAGGCCCCTGTAAGAAATAAATTCTAAATAAAAATATTTTTTTAACAAAAAATCTCCCTACTATCTTTCAAAATCTGGGAAAATATTAGAATTAGTGTGATTTCTGGGGAATCACAGAATGTTTGTAAACAAATGTGTAATAAAATATACGACCTTGAAAAATTATTTTTTTTTTTATTTTTTGTTTCAAAACCTCTAGGTCAATTTCCCTTTAATCTGCTAGTCACTATGAAAGTAAAGAAATGTGGGATTTTTTCTTGTCTCATTCTCAATGTTATCAGTTTTGTTTGAAGATGGTTTAGTGGCTATGTAGAAACACATTCTCCATTTCAAGTACATACTCAAAATTCAATTTGTGTTTTAAGTATGGTCAGTCTTATCTTTTAGTTTCGCTTTTGTTTTTATTGTTGTTTTATTTTCAAAAATTTCACTATAAAACCCGGCAACTCTCTAAAATATAGAACATTTCAATTTGTGTTTTGAAACTAAAATAAAACAAAAATCTTAAAAATGCGTTTCCTCGCCATCCTCATTGCCGTTGTTATGACTATTGTTTTGGCTTCGGCCCAGGATCCCTGCATGAGACCATGCGGTAGAAATTTCGATTTCAGATGTGGCAAACTTCCCGATGGCACCAAACAAACTTTCGCTAATCCCTGTGTAATGGAAATTCAAGCTTGCCAGAGAGGCGTTGGTAATTTTATTTAAATATTGAAATTTATATTTCATTTAATTAATTTTGAAATGTTTTTCAATTC